AGATCCGGGTTTGGAATGGTGAAAATGTGCGATTTCAATGCATTTTCGGCCTTAAAGCGGCCGCCATTTGGCTGATCGTTAATGAGATCGTGAAACAAATGCACATACATATTTGTGACATGATGTAACTTGTGTGTGTGAAGTTTGAACTTGATCAATCCAGACATGTCTCGGATACGGATCCAGAACTGAATTCTTTAAAACAAAATGGCCGCCAGTAGGCCATTTCGAACTTGATCCGGAAAAAAAAAATGACGTGCATCAAGATCCTATTATGTTTAATGTATGTACCAAATTTGAACGAAATCCGTCCATGCATAACTGAGATCCGGGTCCGGAATGGTGAAAATGTTGGATTTTGATGCATTTTCAGACTTAAAATGGCCGCTATTCGGCTATCGTTAATCGGATCATGAAAAAAATTCATGTCCCATATAATGTGTGATGTATGAGTGAAGTTTGAACTTAATCGGTCCATGCATGTTCGAGATACAGGTGATCACGGACGCACGCACGGACGCACACAGGGCAAAACATAAGTCCCCGTTTTCGGACTACGTCCGAACGGGGACTAAAAAACAGAACAAAATAGTAGTGTTTGAATCAAATAGAACAAGTCAGCTTCAGTGTGGTCGGAAGTGCATAGGAGAGGGCTAGGAGTCGAGATCAATATTAAGGCTGTATCGTAATCATAACAGCACACAAGTGTAGGAAGGGCTCACAAAATGAATGTTTACATATTGATATCAGCCAATTTTAGAGAAATTATGATTGGTGCTTGGCCATATTCAAAGATTTTTTGTAATGATAATGTCCTGTTACGACCATGAGTCCTCGGCTTTTGACATTCATGTTTTGAACTGCTATTGCATGTTGTACAGAATACAAACATTGCGCAATTCAGATGACACTGTGTACAGTTGTGAATATGGAATGGAATCACAATTCATGCTGTAATGATCAACATGAACAAGTTGCTTTTATCTAAACTAATTATTTGAATGCCTTGAATTTCCTTTTTCCCCATGAACTTCATTACATTTTTGTCAAGGTCTATTCTTAATACACATGTACACTAATTATATTTTAAAAAAATTACCTGTACATTCAATCCTACCATCACCTTGGTAACCTGGCGGACAAACGCAATTGTATGATCCTAATGTATTAACGCAGTTTGCCATGGTTACACAGTGATGACTGCCATGGATACACTCATTAATATCTAAAAAGAGAAGTTTTAGTCATGAATTTGCCCCAGATAATGTTATATTGCGTTGCTAAGGAACACAGCCATATTGGATAGTAGATGTATTTCAGATTTAATCTTGTTCATGTCAGATATGTGCAATATTTTCTGTTTGTGTACTTGTGTCAATATCATATGCATGCTCTTTGAGAAGAGAGGGAAATTATCCAAATGACTTGCCACAAAATAGAATATGATATGAATAATACAGATCTGTGGCATTCAAATTTGTTTGATGCGTGCTAATATGAATAAGATTTGTCATGATAATGCAATCATATGAAAATTAAATAATGAACATTGACAGGAAATGAAAATTATTGAACAATATGAGTGTTGTTTTGAAAATGTCATTGTCATCAGTACTTTTGTCATTCCAGTCAATTATTTACATAATTTATATTGACTTTGTTGTCATGTCAATAATCAACAATAAATATATTACCTCAATATTTAAGGTAGAAAAACTTATATTTATAATTATTTCATTCTATTGTTTTCTAGACATAACAATGGAACTGTTGAAACTCACCTGCGCATTGATAACCATCTCCATGGTAACCAGAATTACACTGACACTGAATATGGCCTGCATATCTACTACAGGATTTGGTTTCATCTAGAAAGTAAACAATTTTAAGTAATGAACTCTTTTACAAAATTTTAAAATATTGAAAAGCTTTGCTTTAATAGTTGAAAATTGATTTTCATTCTATAATCAATTGAAAATGGAAAGTCTACTATGATAAGTTAGTAAATCAAGGATTTGACTATGATTGCAAACAAGATAAAATGAGCTGAACCAGTACCAGTGTGAGAGCTTGTATCCTAATTTGATAATATTTTTCTCAGTGACATACCCTGATGAATAAACTGTCACATCAGTTTTTTTTTTTTTTTTTTTTGTAAATCAAATATTTTAATAAATGTTTGGTATGTTTCAAAAATTCTATTGCATTGTGTGTGGTTTTGTAATTGAGTAAAAAAATGTTTTCAACACTGAGAGCGTTATTTCTTAAACTGATGTACACATGTAGTGACTACTCATCGTATTGAGGGGGGTGTGAATGTTTATGTTTCGCTGCTGTGTGTGTGTCTTACAAGCTCCAGCATAACGATCCTAATGCGCCCTCAGTGTTGACTATTGGTTATCCTGTATCTAATCACTCATCTTTCCATTTCAGTATTTGCTGATTTCCAAAAAAAATTGGATTTAAATTCTTGAACAAACAGCTATTCTTTTCTAAAGTTAATATTTGAATTTTCAAAAATGTCAGAAATTGGAATTAAAATTAAATTTTATGTACCTAAAGCAATGTTAAAATTTTTCTCCATAGTCTGTACTCTCCCTGGTATGTTTTCTTTGCTGCCATAAACTTGAACGCTGATTATCCCAAAGTCACTCCTGTTTAAGTACTGAATATCCAGCACATTGTTCTCTGGTTTCTCCATACTTATGTATTTCAGTGGAGATACCATTTTTTTCCACACAAACTCCATCGCTGATTTAGGAATGGTAATATGGTCTGCTAAGTTGATGTGTAGACTGTCACCAGGTAAAAATGGACCAAAATCTAAGGTAAAAAATGTAAGTTAATGTTATTTGGAGGAGATTCATTTGTTTAAAGAGTTGTGAAGAAATTGGTGCTCTCCTATTTAGGGTAATTGATTCTCTACCACAGATTACCATCATACCATTTTACTAATGTATTTTTTCCCTTACTGCACTCTCTTCATGTAGAAGGCACAATTGTTTTTTTCATCTAAAACAGGTTTCACATATTGAGGGCACTGTGATTATATTGATATGAATGAGTGTATTTCCATTGATTTCTGATATCTCTTTTGAATGGCATGTAAGCCTAAAGTAACTAGTATTTGCCATCTTGTTCCATTGAAAGACAAATTTGAAAACAGTCAACATAAACTAGTCTGGTATGTAACCATTCTGTCCATAGAAGGACCACTCCCTGTGATTGGCACGTAAGAGCTGATGTCAGGTAACCAAAGAAAATAGAACAAGTATAATAACTTGATGGACCAATCAGAATGCTGGTACCATTGTAGGCACCCTCTGTAACTTAGCTACTGGGTGGTTTTGTATTTAGGGGGTGTGTGTTTGTCATCAATCTTGTATTGCTCAATGGTGGCCTGTAGTGTGTTATAGAGCCCTCTGTAAATACGGGTAGGTAAATGACAAGCAAATTTTGCTTATCAAATTTTGTTTACATTATTTTGCACACCACTTATCCAATCTAATTTACCTACTGGTTTTAGAACGCTGCTCAGACAAATAAATATGATATATAGTAGATATTACCAAATTACAATTACCAAATATCTATACATCTGTCATAAAGTTACAGCGTGCTGTATTGCACTGGGTATTTTCATCTTACCATATTAGGAAATGTGAATTCCAAATATGGAACAATTACGCTCGTGGTAATAAAAAAAAAAAATGGCTCCCCCTAGAGTTTGACCAGACCCCATACAAAAAAGTTTGCTAAATCGGTTCTAAACCTTTTCGATTTCGGCATTCCCGTGATGTATTCCTGGTAGGAAAAAGATGTATAACAGACAGACAGTACGCCATCGCATACTGCCGCTGTACATAGTTTGCATTATCCTCGTAACAACCTCATATTATATACCTACTAAAGTGGTTTTGTATTATAAAGTGTGTGTTTTTTTTTTGGGGGGGGGGGGGTCATTATTAATATTGTATCCCTCAATGGTTTCTGTTTATATGGTCCCCTCTAGTGTTTAAGAGTGCTCTCTGTAACTTACCTACTGGCCGGTTTTGTATTATAAAGTATACTCGTAACAGTCTAGGGTTTGTGAGGTCGTCATCAATCTCGTATTGTGCAATGGCTTGTGTTTGTAACTCAGCTGCTGACAGTTCTGCCCAATATTTTGTTTCGTAAAAATCATCATCTTTAATCGGTGATATCGTTAGTCTCTTTCCATTTTCTGTTAAATGCATATTTTCGTCGATCCCTCCAGGTGCTGTCAATCTTTGCTGATAGCTAACATGCAAATAAAAAGAAACTTATTTGACGACCTGGTAATACATATTCTGAAGTGGAGTATTGTACAAGGTGTGGTCTTTTAAATGGCTTCTAATCCTGTTCTAGGGTTTGATGACCATTGAAACAAATTGTCAGATTTTCCTTTATTTTACTATAATGATTAGATGTTGAGCTGTTGTTCCTGAAACCCGGATAACAATACTTTTCAGACAAAACGTGGGTCAAATATCCATGAAGGTTTTGAGACATTTACTATTGGTTTCCATGGTATCTCAATACGTTGGTTACTTATGGTGAAAATCAATATGTAGTTCTCAGTTGGGTAATTATTGTTGTCAGCGTTTATTAGAAAAGGCTGATGAATACTATTTTTTTAAATAATATTCATTGGGTGTTCCAAAAATGTCTTTTTTTTTGCAATCTGCACAAAATAAACTACCAGGTACTTATAAAAACAACATTTATATGCACAAATTTGAAATTTTGCCTGTATTTGTTAGTACCGGTAGTCCATATTATCATAGTATCTACAGGTGGATTTTTTTTACATTTGCGCATATAGCAGTGGCAATATTTTTTTGACAAAAAAGTTTTAATATTAATCTGTTTTTTGAAAAAAATTGTAAAACATTATGCATGTAATGCCATTTTAACAGTGGTTTTCATAGACCACAATGAAAAAATATTTTGTCATTAAAAAACTACTATAGAAATATTGAGATATACCCTTGTCATAGGGAACAATCCTTGATAACATGTCTTAAAACAGTCAAATCATGCTATTTTCTCATTTTATTGGGTGATTTTCTTTGAACCGAGTATACTGACCCTATATTTAATGCTAGTATGTTGTAAAACTTATACCGTAGTATATTCAGTATAAAATATACAAATCCCCTGAAATTTCCAGGCTGTCTTGGTACTGCTTAAATTGCAGCTACTCGTATCATATATATACACAATCTCTGACATGAATTATATATTGTTACTACGAATGTTATACATAGAAAATCTGGAAAAAAAAATTTGAAAACACAGCTTTTGTCATTTTAAAGCGCGATGGTCGTCGCGCAGCGCGTGTTCGAATTTCATGTAAATAAACAATGTATTTTACACGCGTTGTATACGTCGCTATGAGCCCCATATCGAACAGAACGCGGTGTGACGACTGCCGCCCCTTAAACTTGAAATGGTCTTGATTGTAGCTCTTACCTGTGGAAGTGTGGTGGCAATCCAACGTAGTATTTGTACCATTGTAACGTGCCAGCGACATAGTCCCCGTCTATCTCCACTTCAAAAGATGCGTCAGATCCTACATCACGACTCATCACACACGTTTGAGCCATTTGCTGCACGTCACAGTTGGTTGTACTAGCAACACGCATAACAGTCATCGCATCTGAGAGCAAATTAGAAAATATTTAATAATACCAAACAAATATTTGATAACAACAAATGTAAAGTTCGACAAAAAGCAGTTTGAAAACATCACTGCTAATAAAATTAAGCTTTCTGTTCTGAAACATTATGAAGCAAAGTGGAGGGAAAATATGAAAGATAAGTCTAGTTTCGTTTACTATAAAAAGTTCAAAAACAAAATAAAAAAATGCAAACCAGATATAAATTCAGTGACAGATTTGGTTTGGAATATGAAAAAAAGAAATGGAAAAATAATACTTCTGAAGACTACACTTGCCCATGTTGTGAGAAGAATATTTATTTGTTTGTTTGTTTGTTTATTTATTTATTTACTCACTCACTCACTCATTTACTCATTCATTCATTTATTCATTTGTTCGTTCATTCAAATCGTGAACCCCTGATTTAAAAGTGTTGCAACAAATAAATAATAATAAAAAGTAATAATAATACATTTGATGACTTAGGTGAAACAAATTTGTTTTGCTTTGTATATTGTATCAAAACATGTTTATTAAATATTATTTGTGAGTGTTTCAAGTTGACATTCCGTTATGTGTACCAGCATTTAGTAAGTCAGCTATACTGGCGACAGTTGAAAGAAATTGATTGATGTGACAAAAAGTCAAAGTTCTGTCATGAATTAGTTTACGCGTATCTGTTAATCGACTTAATTACTTGATTACGAGTGAATTGCTGCGTTATGTCTGTCATCGTTTAGGCAGGCGAGGTCCTGGACGGAACTCGACTCAGTGATTTGGAACTAATTACGAGATAACCGTAGCTATTCGGACTATTAATTCTGACAGTTGGTATTCGTAGTTATTAATGTAGTGAACGATTAATCAAAAGATATGACGTGTTCAGTACTTAGTTTGATTGGCTTTATGATTGAAGAGGGGAGGCAAGGGGGGTAGCTGGTACGGTTTTACGGGAAATAAAAAGAGCGTTTTACAATTTACAAAGAAAAAAAAGACGTTTTTACAGTGTTAAAAAAGGGAACATTGAATGGTCCGAAGAGCTCTCCGGCTCAAATTCTCCACCATTGCTGCGCCGTGTGTAGAGATGCA